ATTTAAAAATAGTAATAGTATATTAAAGAAGGCAAAGAAAACTATGATATTTAGGCACTTCTGGCAATATTTCGAACGGGTATTTTTGTTTAAAACTGGCCACTTTTTTTTAAATAAATGTAGCCAAAAGCCAGATTGTCCTAACGGCAACACTGCCTGCTGGAACAAGCTGTAACGATTATCGAAGTGGAAGCCCGTACTCATAGAGAAAAGTAATACACTGAAACGAAACGTACTCGAGCCTCGAGCGAACGTTTGTTTATCACATCAATATTTTTTTTGCCATGGTTTATGCAATAAAACAAGTTTCAACGCTTTAGATGCACTGATTTATTTATTTATTGACGTTTCGCATCATTTTCAGGGTGCGTCGTCTAAAATATGATAGGTTTATGGTTTAGTCCAATTCAAAAAAATTGAGTTGTAATTTAATGTATTTAATTGTGATTTCTCTATGGATAGGCCAAGCCACGGTAATATTATCTATAATTACCGTGGCCAAGCTATCTATAAAGCTTAGATCATATATTGGTATATGCCCTACTCTATAAATTCAAGCTACCGCATGCTGAATATAGCGCACTCTTCGTTCATAGTTAAAAAAAAATGGATGCGTGTAACTTATGTACGCGCGTGAGAAGTTATACTTCTTTAGCATCATTAAAAATATTTTTTAATTACGTGCAAATAATTAATAATTACAATAAAATAATAAAAGGACTGGAAAAGGATAGTTAACACAGTCAATTAAGTTCTGTTTTAATTTGAAAATTTAAATAAATATTCAAAATATTCAATTAAAATCACTACTGAATTTAAGTTATTAGTCCATATGTAATTAGCACTTGTAAGTAACTAAAACACGTTGTGTCTATATAGAAACTAGAAACATGTGGATAAATATTATAAATATGAAAACAGTTATCAGAGGCGACGAGCGTGCCAACATTGTTTTTGACAACGCGATCATCTTATGGAGCTCCGTGGATCGTTCAAAGTACCTTTCGAACAGATGTCTAATAATGGTGGATTATTAACCACTAAGTGGTTAATAATCCACCATTATTAGACACTAACATTCATAACGCGCCCGCGGCCAACTTCATGGTGTTACTATTGTGTTACAGTGATGCGCGCGCATCTTAAAATTTCATTCTCATAATTTTTTCATAACGCGGCTAAAGAAGTATAACTTCAAAAAACCAAATTGGTTAAAATCCTTGACGGGGTTCATTACCCGATCCAAATCTGAACCATCCTATCCAAACACTGTCACTTAATCTTATCTTACTTATGCCTATTCTGACTATCACTTTATCTTAAACCCTTTAATAATAAACTAAGTATTAAGCTTGGATTAGTTACCTACTCTATGTTTTGTCTTTGTTCATGAATTACAAATGGCAATTGAGTGTTACGAACAAAACCAGGCGTAACTAGTCGTAAGCTTATTTCTTGTTTATTAGTAGAGGCAAAACGGTTTTAACACCTCAATACACTTTTAAGGTGCCTAGGTTTATCACCTCTAAAGCTAAACCTGAAAAAGTTCAAGCAATGGATGGAGGATGGAGCACCAAACAAAAAGTTTAGTGTAATTTATTAAGAAATAATAAACAAAACATAATACAGTATTACAGTAATGTCATCTTAATGAATCCAAATACAGCGATGCGTTATGAATTGATTTCATTAAATTCAGTATTTGGAAATTTACAGAGTTCTTGACGTATTCGCTCAAGTTGTAATTATTAATGGGGCCACAGTATATGCTGTTGCAGTGGAAAATGTCGTGAAGCTTCGTTGTCACCTTCTCTGGGTCACTGTGGTGGACTGCTTTAGGTGGGATTCGCTTAGCCTTATTTAGTAAACTGTCTGCTACTACGGTCAAATTAGCAGTTATTAGTGCATTGGTATGTCTGACTTCAGTCCGCGCCATACGCCCCAGCAAGTAACCTGGAATACATGCGGGGCCATTACTCATACATTCCGCGCTCGACAATGATTAATGCTTTTATAGAATGCATTGGTTTTGGTTATACACCACGACCGAATTAGCTACTGATAAAGGGTGTCTATCAGAATACAGAGATTTTTTTGATATCGATTTTTATTTTACCGAAAGCTATTCCACGATTTTTAATATATATTTTTTTCAATTCACCGATTTTTTAATAATCGCTGTTTACTCCATGTTTTGTCTCTGTCCGTTTATATCATCGAAAAACGTTTCTTAAAAAAAAGTAGTCTTCCGTTGTAAACATGCATGGCTTCTGTCACGGCTCTGTCTGTCAAGTAATAAAGCTCGCGGGCCGCCTCGCGGTAAAACTGTACTTCCAGGGCTCAAGAGGTGATACTTGATTTTTTTTGTAGGAAAGGTCTCTTTTAAAATCATTTTTTTTTCTGGCGTTTTGGTCACAATGCTAACCTAACCTAACCTAGTGTGAAGTATAACCACTTGGGCCCTGGAAGTACAGTTTAGCCCGCCTCGCCCCCGCGCCTACGCGCTTTTAAATTGAACTCTAGCTCTCTTATTAATAAGCAAGGAATAAGCTTAGACTAGTTACGCCGCGTTTTGTTCATGTCACTCAAATGCCATTGGTCATTCAATGGACAGAGACAAAACATGGAATAACTAATGTAAGCTTATTCTTCGTTTATTAATAAGGGGGTTTGGGTAGGGCAGATAAGTCGTATAGTCGGAGTAAACTTAAATATCCAAAGAGGTTTATTATTCAAAAACAACATATGATTTTTACTCTACAAAGACATCTGAAATCGTATTTTCGATGTTTCCATTATTTTGCAAACTGAAACTTACGATGAAACAAAAATATGAGTAATATAGCTTCGATGTAACATTATTTGGATAAAATGTATAAAACATCAAAAGAAATAACGATGAACCGTGTTTGTAGATAATAAATATTCGAGGAAATGAAAATGCAATGTAACCTAATTCTAGCGTTTGTTAAATATTGAAAAAAAAAACTGCGATTTCTTTCCTTCCTTCGTTGAAAGGAATTGCGATATATTGATGGATTCCCTATGATAAAACTTTCTCAATTTTACTGCTTCAGTCATGGAGCTTTACTTAGTTAATAGCGGTATAGATGAAGATCCAGGTTCGGTTGGGTCCAATGTTGGGTAGATAACATTAGTATTGACTCGGTTGTTGTGAATGTTGCTCAGCATGATTTTTTCTTCCCATATTCGATAACCATTCACATAAACTTTAAGCGCTCATACACACAGGCGGTTAACCGCGTGGGCGGTTTTCAGCTTCTTCATTTACGGTTACCCGCTTACGCGGTTAACCTGCCAGTGTGTATTAGGTGCTAATGATTGTCACTTGAGTTGAAAACGGCTCGTCCCAAATTTTATAGATTTTGGAATTAAGGTCAATTATTCAAAGTAAATTTTGAACAAAGAATGGGAAATGGTACTGTTATTTCTCATTCAAAATCTGTAAGTACCTATCGGTCGTAAGTTTTCAGATACCGATTTAACTGCAGACAGTTTCTGATATATTGCGCTGGCGCAAGGTGTGAGCGGGAGTCAAGGCACCAAGGTTTTGGCCGTAACGTTACAAATAAATAGCGCACGCATACACAATGTGAAGTGAAAAATAGATACATCGGTCTTACCGGCGAGTAGACAGCTGACCGCCACGAACAGTAGTACCGCCGCCAACAGTCGCGACCTGACGGGCGCGGACACAGGCGGACCCGAACACGAGCGACGGGGCGCGCTCATTGCGACGATAAAAACGCCAAATATTTCTATAGTATCTTTATCTTTTTGATAAAACCTTCAAAAAGGAGTTTACGGAGGAAAAAATATTGACATTCAATTGTTTCAAGCGGGATGAATAAGTAAGGAAATAATTGTGAATATATTTCACTTGAAATTAGTTTTCGTATCACTGTTATTGTTGGAACCGATGCGATGTATGTCTGTCCGTAACTCTTCGGCGCGCAATGGTCATTCAGAAGTCGCGTCCCGATGCCGAAGCGCGCCGCCAGTCAATCCTATAAATAGATCACAGTTTCACGGTGAATCCGACAATGTCTCCTGTTTATCTTGATGGTAACCAGTATTGTCGACGTGCGGGACATACATCAAAGGACTGAACTCCTGCCAAGATATTCATGAGCCATGTAATAGCCGTTGGCCTTTAGCGGTTGTTCTTCAATTTACGATACACCTATTTCGTTATTCTACGGATAGTCGGCGATTCAGACCAAAGATTAAATATTATGATTCATTATAAACAAAATATTAGTGTTAAAAGGGACTACAGAACTGAAAGATCGCATTAAACAGTAAAATATTTATTTAATAAACGTGCCTTAAAAATATTTACATGTCTAATTTTAAAATAACTTATACATTAATTCACACACATAATCAGATTCTTTTATGCTTTCTATTTAACATATTTCACAAATTTCAATCATTATTATCTAAGAATTGTGAATTAACAATGTTTCGGTAAATTAACGGTGAATTTGAGAAAACTAACCAAACGGGGATTAAATCATAGCTAATTATAAATTATTACTATTAAGAAATACATATAATTAGAAGATAATACGTAAAGTTACACAACGGTCTGACTTAAAAATGTTAGTCCTAATATCTTTAACCTATAATCTACGAATTTATCAACAGGAATGTCAATTATTAGAGCAGTCTTGATCATGTCATATAATTATAATTACAGTTATTCTAAAACAATTATGTAAATAAAGTAAAATATGGCACTTTTTACCACTTAATCATGAACGCTTAAGAGTACCCATAAAGTTTTATTCTTTGTCGTTATCGAAATATTTTCTCTATCAAAGTATTATTAAAACAAGGATGGAAGCCAGGCCATTATTGGTCATGCCTTTAGCACCGATATTTTAATTAAAATCTTTTTTTTTTGAGGGAGACAGTGTAAATATCAATTTAAGGCAATTTCTTGTGCTGATAAATTATCCCGTGTCCGACATGGCAAACAATATGCAGAAACAAATGAATAATCTTTATTTCACACACCTGGAAAAGTGTGTAGCATAGTGTAAATAAACTGTCGCTTGTAATTGGACACTAAGTGTCGCCGCACACGGGCCACACGCCACAGCCACAAACGCCGCCGCGAGAAGCTAGAAGCGGCTACTAAAGTGGCTGAAGCGCGCGACAGCGGCCGACCAAGGTAAGGGAGAGGGTGGGGAATCGCGCGAGTGACGTGTGGCGGCGTTTTGTATCGGCGCATTAAGTGGCCGGCGCGGGCCACAAGAAGCGAGCAACGACGATTTGTAGCGTGTGGCGGCCACCGGCGTACCGTGTGTGGCGAGTCCATATAAAATGTATGAAAACTACAAGAAATATGCCGGTGGCGGCGTTTTGTGGTTGTGGTCGGTGGCCCGAGTGCGGCGACACTAAGATGTACAGTTGAATACATTCGATTAGTCAACGTTGTAGGAAAACATTTTTTTATGTATAACACTATCATCACTATTTATGTATAAGTTCGATCATTGTCCCATATTGAAGAGCAGCTTGAGATCCTCTATGGATAGTTTGGAGGCGCTGGTGTGTCGCGCGCCAGTGAGCACGTTGTCCGCCAGCTCGAGCTTGGCATCCTGTAACTTACGTATACTCTGCTCTACCGTGTCCACGCACATGAACCTACAAGAATTCAAATACAAAAATATTGTGAAGGATATGGACTGTTTTTAATTATTATTAAAGAGAAAAGAAAACAGTGGTGGCAGTGACGAGGTGAAACAATCTATTTTGTAATGTCGCAAAGAAACTAAATAAAAAAGTATCAAAAGTATCGCAGGTGGTTAGCGCGTTCGGCTGCGATCGTTGTAGTTAAGCAACTTTCGCAGTGGTCGGTCATTCGATGGGTGACCAAAAATTTCTATCTCGAGTTCGTCCGTGCTTCGGAAGGCACGTTAAGCCGTTGGTCCCGGTTGCATCTGCAATCGTTAGCACCCGCCAATCCGCACTGGGCCCGCGTGGTTGGTCATGGCCCAATCTCCCTATTACATCCGCAGGGAAGGCCTGTGCCCCAGCAGTGGGGACATAAAGCGGCTGATGATGATCAAAAACTCAGAGACAATAAATATAAAAGAATGATATAAAAGGTGTGCTATCCGGCACAAATATGTTATCACACTAATATTGTAAAGGCGAAAGTTTGTTAGTGTATGTGTATTACTTCTTCATGTCTAAACGGCTGGAGCGATTTTTATAAAATTTGGTATGGAGTTAGATGACACCCTGGATTAACACATAGGCTACGTTTTACTACGGGAAAATATCCCTAATAAACCGTGGGTAACATCGCGGGGCACAGCTATTTATCTATATACTCCAGCAAACTTCTTGAGCAACGACCATAACCAAGGAAGCCGGATTTAAGGTGTGCCGGGCTGTGGCCCAATGCCCCCTCAAAGGAAAAAAAGGTCTAATGAGCAAGTTTATTTGTCTGTGGTTTTGCTCCAGAAGTTCTCCTCTACCTATACCAACACCGCATGTTTTGTCACTGAAAATTAGGTTATTATAGCAGTCAGAAAGCATTGGTTTGGGTGCATTTTGCTCCTGAACCATGTAGTATTTTTTTTGTTTTAAACATAAAAAATATAGATACATTCATCTATCCACACATATGGACGTGAGATTTCTTAACTCTGAAGGATATCTTAAAATCGGTAAGTTTTATGGCCTGCACCAACGAATGACTTATGTCCTCCGTGAAGAAAAAGTCCAATCGTGGAGCAAATTGGACTTTCCACGAACTCAACGCACACGATGTGTGAATATTTGTCAACGCACGCTATGGAAGTAAATGTTCAGAAATTACGTTGTGTTGTAATTAACATGAAGTTTAATAAAGAGAGAAAACGTTTTAAATACTGGGTTCATTTATTTAAATGGGATCGAACACAGAAAGAGGTTAGGGTGCTCATAGACCGTTTGTACGGGAGCCGATGTCGCCGGCTTGCCCCAACTACACTTCCACCTAATAGTATTAGCCATCAAACGACGCGACATCAAACAATCGGCCCAATCAGCGCTCACAGAGAGCAACGACGCAATCAGAACAAAGTTTTGTTCAAGTTATGGGCATTTATTTGGTCACACATTACACTGCCCCGCCCAAAAGGCCTTTCTAACCCCTTTTTGTATTCAGCGGGATCGAGCTCACAACGCGAACTATAGTATTCGTTGCTGCGTCTAGTCACATACTTATGTTCTAATTTTTCGGGGACTCCCCGAGTACTTGTCCTGTCCGCTCTTTCGTTATCCTCGGCTCGTCGGGGTACTTTTTGAACGCGGTATTTTGAATGCGTCCTGTGCAACAGTGTGTGTTACTCGATGCAGTAATAAGCGAGCTATTTCGGCGGGCAAGAGTCCCCCGTCTGCGCAGGCTTATTACAGTGTGTCAAAGTCTTAAATAAATCTTATGTAGTTTTATTTTTTATTTTTAAACATGTAACTGCTCGATGTTTAAATAAATAATAAAATTTATCTAAAGAAAATATTACTAGAAAACAATCCACGCGGTCTTATGTATTTAAAACAATGAAGGAAAAGAAATACGCAGATGAATGCCAAATTACTCATATTCTGTTGGGTACGTACCTAGTATTTTGTTATACCAAACATTTATACAGATTTGCCAAATTCTTTTGATCTATGACTATGAAAATAGTTGGCAACCGGTTAAAAGCGGTCATTTCACAATCTTGTCATTAGTATACCTACACATACGCGTCATCCAATCTGTCATTTAGTATTATGGCTGCAACTATTGAAAAGCAGAGACTTAAGTACGACTTTTAACAGATCCGTAATGTTATGGTTATCATAAAATTTTGTAAGGCGATTTAGGGTGAGAGCCCCCCCGGGGTGGGTCATGTCTTAATTTTCCTTACAAGGGGGTGGGGGGTTGTCTTAATAGTTCTTACACAAGATCACAAAAATGAGCAAATTAAAGATTAAACTTTGAAAAAGGTCTTTATTTCTACCAAAATAATAAAAAATACTAGCACCTTTGTAGTTATATACAATTTTTTTTTCTACAAATTGGTACTTTGAAAATAAACATTAGAAAAATCAAACGTGTAGGTACTATAGTTAAAAATACTTATTATCCCGGAAAAATGTTTTTTCGGACAACTATCTTTAAGGCGGACGAAGTTACGTGCGCAATCTACGACTAATAAATATCTAAATAATAATAAACTTGTTTTAGCTAACTTTAATAATTTCTACTTACAGACATACAACCTAATGTAACATTAACTTATCTTTTTATGCAATAAATATCATCTGTCAACTTGGTTTGCTTGAAAGCTTAATTTGCCTGTAATATTTTTGAGAAGACACCAAACCAGTAGCAATATTCTATACAAATGTATATGTGACGGGTTTAGTCACCTGTATGTCATGTGGGTTTAATAAATAAATAAATATTTCCAACACTCACATCAATTAGCCTAGCCCCAAAGTAAGCACTGTAAGGCTTGTGTTATGATGGAATATTAGGGTAACGGATAGAATACATATATAAGTATATTTATAAAGAAATACATATTACATCCATGACTTGAGTACAACCTAATAACTTGTAAAGCTTTCGCGGACCGAGGGACTTATGTCCGCGCACTATTTCAGCCGCTAAAAATTGCAATGAGTAACGGGCACGAGGTATTAAAACCACGAGTAAAAAACGTCTCCCGAACAACCGACGATACTGAGAGACCGGACAGGACATAAGTACGCGAGAGTCCCCGAAAAAATAGAACTCATGTGACAGGCAACGCCCACAGCTAACTATAGTCAGCGTTGCGAGCTCGATCAGCTTTAAAAGATGAACCCTGTATTCTCTTTTAAAAATTCTCCTCGTTTTCTTAAACTCTATTGTTAATTATAACCAGGGCCGTCTTTAATAGGATAATGGAGCCCCTATGACTTTGATGTGGCTTATGACTTGAAATGGAGCGAGTCATACTTATGAGTGTACTACTGATGATTTTTCATTAAAATGTGTATGTGCTTAGTATACCATTATACGTATATTTAAATTTATCTAAGCATGCTGAAGTCGGAAATCCTAATTTTTGGGCGAGAGCACAATAGCTTCGCTTATGTAAAAGCTAGTAAGTTGGTATTATAGTCAGTAATTTAGGTTCGATTTCATCGAATTATATAAGTTTTTTGGTAATAAATATTTAATAAGGTTATTGGTTAGTGATCTGACAGGAACTAGGGACTTTGTATTTGATCCTCCTATCGATCGCGGGGCCCTGGGCACATGCCCAAAGTGCACACTGGGAAAGAGGGCTTTGATTATAACACAACAACAATATTCACTTAGCATAGCATGCGCTTTTCTAAAACTTCGGGGGACAAATGTTCTCACATCGTGTGCGTCGAGTCCGTGATAAATCCACGCGCATATTTTCTTCACTTGTCTGCGCAGGCTAGTATTATGCGGGTTTAGTCACCCGTATATGTGTCGGTCTAAGTCACCTACAGATTATACACATGTGTAAGTACGTCGAATAAGCGGGTTGATTTAGTGGCTGGTATAGCTACCTGTATTATGCGGGTTTAGTCACCCGTATATGTGTCGGTCTAAGTCACCTATAGATTATACACATGTGTAAGTACGTCGAATAAGCGGGTTGATTTAGTGGCTGATATAGCTACCTGTATTATGCGGGTTTAGTCACCCGTATATGTGACGGTCTAAGTCACCTATAGATTATACACATGTGTAAGTACGTCGAATAAGCAGGTTGATTTAGTGGCTGGTATAGCTACCTGTATTATGCGGGTTTAGTCACCCGTATATGTGTCGGTCTAAGATACCTATAGATTATACACATGTGTAAGTACGTCGAATAAGCGGGTTGATTTAGTGGCTGGTATAGCTACCTGTATATGTGTACGGGATTCTTCTGACCCACGCGGTAGATGCGGTCCTGCGCCTGTTGTTCCAGCTGCGGATTCCAATGTGGATCCAGCAGTAGCAGATGATTGGCACCGCATAAGTTCAAACCTACGCCGCCGGCGCATAGTGATAGGAGCATGACCTGTTTACGGGGGAAAATCAGTAATTATATTTTCAGAAGGATTCGTAGGTGATAGATGATTTGATAAAACAAATTTTCGCGATATTTTTTTTTTATTTATTTATAAAGGTACATTAAACAGCCAAAGGCCAGCAAAAATGTACACAGCTGAATAACATAAGTAAACCTTAGTTACCAAAAAGAAAACATAAAAATAAAGATAAAAACATTGATGAAATAGTCTTCAATCCTAAGTGATGAATCAAAGCGGGCGAAAGGAATGAAAACTTGATATTACCAGAGAAAAGTCACTAATTGGGTACGAGTCTAATAAACATTCATGTATCTGCAATCAACCAAAATGAAATAAAAACATGCATAAAATAAAATAAATATGTATATGTATTTAAAAATTAAATAATCCTAGGGATTTTATCAAAACGCTGATAAAGAATCTTTTAAATCGCTATGGATTTAAAAATTCGTAATCTATATTAGCACAAGATTTACCAGGACGTAACGTTTTATGTGCAACTTGGAAGATAAGAAAAACGTTTTTTTTTTCTAGTTAATTTTTTTTTAGTTTTAAACGGTTAAATAGTTAAAAAATATAGGAAAAAAACAGTTTTTATTTTTCTACTACTCTACTCTTTTTTTAGGTTATAACAAAATAGTGACCAATTCAATTTCCAAAGGGGAACCTATATTAATGTTGACCCCCCCCCCCCCTCACAATTATTGACCCTCTTGCATTTATAGTAAAGTATAACGAAACATATAAATAAAATATTGAACACGATATCTTTTCCATAGTGATGTCGATTCTGGCATGATTCTCTAAACTCAAAACTAAATTTAAGATCACTCTCTCCTTTTCATTCTGTATGTAGAATGACAAGGAAACACTGTTGTCAAATTTAAATTTAGGTTTAGAGAATCATGCCGGAATCGACATCATTGTAATGTAAAAATAAAAGAAGATTTATATAACTGAAGAACTGTATGGGCATTGTTCCCTTTGCCTTCCCTAACACGGGAGAAACAAAAAAAAATCAACAACAATGGTTGAAACGTCAAAGTGAGATTGTAAATAAATCGTCTTGTTTGGTTTTTATTTCACAATACCAGCCCGTGGTATTTAACCAATAATAAAAATGTCGAGTGAAACAGATTCAGACGAAGACAACATATTACTTTTAACAGTTTTATTGTTAAAAAGGAGGAAGAAAAGACGAAGAATTTGGATGAAGGACACAAATAAAATGCGAGAAGAATGTGGGGAATACAGTAAATTTTACAAGGAACTGGAATCTCATGACGACGATATGTTTTTTATGCAGTTACGCATGTCAAAACAATGTTTTGAGGAATTGCATGAGATGCTGAGATTAAATATATGTAAGAAAGACACTAACTGGAGACGTTCGATTAGTAGTCGAGAAAGATTAGCAATATGTTTAAGGTAAGCACTTGTTACTATTCATAAAATCACAAGAAATCCAATTTTCAATAGGCACTTCAGATAAATATTTGATGTGTTCTACAAATACATTATTAAGGGTTACGATTGACACCCCTGTAGCTCGAGTGATATGTACACCCGGTTCCAAGGAGTCACCTTAACAGTTTCTGGGCTCAGATCCCAGTGGAGCGATGGTAAATTCTAATAACTGCATACTCTAAGCAATGAAATTTACATTATTTGCCCTTGTTTCTGCAAACAATTATGGTATAAGTTACCACATCATCATTTACAGGTTGAGTTGGCAAGAGTTCAGTTGATGTATTCAATTTTCAATGTTGATGATGCATGAAGTCAACCGAGTAAAATTAACTATAACATTATGCTGCAATTATAATAATCCAAAGATCCAGTGAGACTGATTGATAAAAAAAAACAAAAATATTTAGTAGTAAATATAATGTGGACTTCAATAGTTAAGTAGGGTAGGGTGGGGTGCAGTTTTACAAAAAAAATATACTGGAATATAATGACAAAAATATTGTTTTAATCAGCTAGTTTTGGTATGACAATAAACTTTAACAATCTTTCTTTAATTAAAATAGCTCAAACATTAACATTATTAGGAACTACTAAATTTAAATTGCACTTTAATTAAATCAGTTGATTGTAACACTGAGCTCCGTATCTGGGGTAGTCTGTTACAGGGTAAAGGGCACAATGTTACAACATAAAATAATAGGAAATTAACAAAATGAGAAAAAGGATTTAGCTTCTAATAAATATTAAACTTCTTCAAAATATTTTTTGGGAAAGTATCTAGACATGTCTGATGTTTGATCTTTTTTCTGCCATCTTTGTAATGTCTTAAAATTTACGTGCTTTTCATTTTCTGCCTTTCGGAGACTAACACCACTTTTCAACCATAAAAATCGTTTCTGCAATATCTTTTTCACTGAGAAGACCATAATCCGTCTTCCTCTTACGATATCGCACCATTTTCTTTTAATACCTTGAAATAGTACAGTGCCCCAGAGAAGCAAACCAAATTGAAAAATTCGAATGAATATTTCAGGTAATTTTTACAACAAATAATTCAACGGTAGTATGTAGCTAAATAAACATTAAAGTAAAGAAGATTAGGAACATTTACCTCAATACTACCTGAAAAAAATAAAAACTTTGACTCGGTTTTTTTGATGTTTTATCACAGGAAAACATTTATTGTTTGTTAATTTTCAAGCGTGGTACAAACTGTGGCAGAATCAACGGTTCATAAAAGTAATAGAAAGGGACGAAAAAATGTGAATTGTAACATTGTACCCCGTGTAACACTGTGCCCCGCCTTACCCTAGCTTACAACTATAGTATCTTTGAATTCTTTGTTTTTTTCCCCCTATTGTGGTTGCAACACCTCACTTGAAACTCATAATGCAGATAAATGAAATAATATTTTTCAGGTACATGGCTACAGGGGATTCACATCAACTAATTGCTTCATCCTTCCGTGTTGGGCGGTCTACAGTTAGCGTAATTATAAAAGAAGTTTGTAACTCCATATGGAATTTGATGCGGCCGAAATATATTCCAACCCCTAATGCAAATATGTGGGAACAAGCAGAAATTGGTTACAGAGAAATTTGGAATTTTCCAAACTGCATTGGCAGTATTGATGGCAAACATGTTGTGATCAAATGTGTTCCTAAAAGTAAATCTGAAAGTGAAAATTCCTCTAAGGACTACAGTTCCATTGTTTTGTTTACAATAGTGGATCCGTATTACAAATTTTCATTTGTCGATATAGGCAATTATGGAGAACAAAGTGATATTGGATTATTTGAAAAAAGCATTTTATACCGTGAACATATTCGTCGTAGAAAACTTTTGCCACCAAAACCATTACCAAACACTGATGAACCTTTACCTCATGTGTTGATTGGAGACGATGGTTATATTTTACAACCGTATCTGATGAGACCCTTTCCTAAAGCAGTTGTTTTACAGGATGAACGAAAAAGACATTTTAATTTTCACCTTTGCCATGCTCGTGGTGTTGTTGCAAATGCCTTTGGATTATTATGTGAAAAGTGGCAAGTTTTTTTGCGACCAATAGATTGTGATGTTACAGCAGCCATGGACGTGGTAAGGGCTGCATGTTGCTTACATAATTACCTAAGAAGTAAAGAGAAGGTATCTTCCGTAACCGAAATTGAATCATCTCAACTCACAGCAAATGCTTTTAAAAACATAAGACCAACAAATAAAAGATCATCAAATGCTGCAATTGAAATAAGAGAAAAGTTTCTTACTTACTTTAATCAAACTAAAAATATAACAAATCAGTAGCCACTTGTTTCTTTTATTTTCCTTCGAAAACTGACCATAGTTAAGCGTTATTGAAGTCCTTGCTATGGTTGTGTAATATTGGTTTTAAAATACACCCCAGCTTATGCCCTACCTGTGATTATAGCTCCCTTATTTTAAATACAACTCTGGGTATGGCCCTCGCTGCCTCTCTTAAGAATTAAACAAGCTATGCTACAATGTAGCCCACCAATGTACAATATCGCACGAATCGCAGCACTGGGCGGGTCACGGCATAATCTAATCTCCCTATGCCATCCATATGGAAGGCCTGTGCCCCAGCAGTGGGAGCATTGATAGGCTAATAGTGATGATAAAGCTACAATTTATATTTTTGATTAGCTCCGTGGACTAGTCTCCGTCACATGTCACTTATATTACTTTACCATCTGATTGGATAAATCCAGTATTGACCGGATTTTATGAGCTTCAACCGGACATACCACGCCCGGATTCCATTCGAGAACTTTACACAAATTTTACACACCTTCATTTTCGTTTCGCTCCATTACTACACAAACAACTTAAAAGTAACACCGAAATATAACTTCAAATATACATTTTCTGAAGGATTTTTAAAATAAAATTAGTAGAGATTCATACTAAAATAAATATATAAAATGCTAACATACCTATATTTTTATTTCAAGTAGAGTTATGTTCTATCATTTGATGTTTTTTTTTACTCGAAGCTGCACCTTCATCTAAAAGGCCTGAATTTTAAAACATTTTGCAACCAAATTTCAGTATTTATGTCCTGGTAAACCTTACCGCACGTCGGACAGTTGGCCGTCGAGTGACAGTGACACAAAGCTGCCTCCAAATTCATAGATATTCATGGTAATTATAATATTAATTTATGTCATTAAGAAGCCCTCACCGCACAAACCTAGACAAGAAGACCAAATCCCGAGGGAGCCATCACTGAAGAAATCTAATCGAACATGATTGCGACCATTTACCTTATTTTTGCGAGTCTCCTATATTTCGGCACTGTTGCACCTATCCGACATTACCTTTTCCTTCGTAGGACCACGCGTGCTGGCCTACATTGTCACCGACTTACTGTAACCACTATATATTTATTTAATAATTTTAATGATCTTTTTTGCCTTTACACTGCAAATGGCGGACTTAATGCCAATATGGCATTCTCTACCAGTCAATCGGAAAGAACAAACAGAGCTAAAAAAAC